GTGCGCCCGCACGTGATTCACAATAAATGCGTAAACGGGTTGCGCATCCTCAAGACATCATGTGCGAGTTACGTATGCTTCCATAAAAATTATTCATGGTGCAAACCCTCAGCGTGCTAAATTTTGCGGCGATAATAAATCGCAAACACAAGCGACGCTGATGTATTTGTCTCTATTTGAGACTCTATTTGTCCCGAAGTCTCTATTTGAGCGATCAATAAGTGGTATTACTGGTCGATGGAATTTTAGGCTTTGTTTTCCCCAGAAGAAGTTTTCTGAGGAGCTAGACCTAATCTACCAGTTTTTGTTGGGCCTTTAATCAACTGGCTTACGTGCTGCTGCAAGTTTTCAATCGCATGCTGAAAATAGTTAATATTCCGGGCAGCCATTTGTCCCAGTTTTTCTGGTCCTGCACAGATATAAAAAAATATAACTCAGTACTCACTGCAGTGAGTGACAGAGAGCGCATTTTCTCCTCGACGAAAACGTAAAGTCACGGACGGACGGACATGACGAGCACAAGTAGTAGTAGTAGTAGTAGTAGAAAGGTTTGCTAGCATTTCAGCTATCAAGCTATTTCGCGCCGGAGGTCATAATACAACATCGCCAGAAGGCGGAAGGTCTCAATTTTTCAAGTCTCAAGTTAATCATCACCCACAAGAAGCGGAAGGTCTCAGTTGTCCAGCCCGCTGAAGCTGGCCCAAGAGAAGCAGCGTTAACATTTAAAGAGACGAAGTGACAAGGAGGGACAGGTGAAAAGCAACAGAAACGAAGACACTCGAACAAGAGGACGCTTACACCTACACGGGACGTCGGCCGCCAGCAGGAGAGAGACAGAGTGCTTTGTTTTCCCCAGAAGAAGTTTTCTGAGGAGCCAGACTTAATCTACCAGTTTTTGTTAGGCCTTTTATTGACTGTTTTACTTGCTGCTGCAAGTTCTCAGTCGCGCGCTAAAAATAGTTAATATGCCGGGCAACCATTTACCCAGTTTTTCTGGTCCTACACACCTTAAAAAAATATAACTCAGTACTCACTGCAGTGAGTGACAGAGAGCGCATTTTCTCGTAGACGAAAACGTGAAGTCACGGACAGACGGACATGACGAGCACAATAGTGCATTTTTTCCATAAATGAGAAATGCGCTAGAAAGCTCGAAATTGCCACAGAGTTCCTCCTCAAGACCTATGTGGTTCCTTAACATTAAATTCGACTGTATGCATCACATTAGATTGCTTTCATGCACAATTTCTCGACCAAATAGTATTACGAATATTGCATAATATATATTAATGAAACGTTAAAGTTGCACTACATTCACCATTCTGCTAAGATAAATAAAACGACCATCGTAAATCGACCCGACACGACCAGCTGATCTAATGAAGGCGACTGGAATAAATTCTTTTTCATTAGTTAATGTCACTCATTTGCTTAAATCGCAAATTAACAAGAAATTAAAAAGCCAAGAAAATTCCCCAAAATTTCATATCTTTAAAGAAAACGTTTCCGAGTCCAGCTTCATCGTCCGTTCAAAGATTCTAGAATGCAGATAAAATCACGAGTTAGTACAATTGAAATTCAACGAACCGAAATTTGAACCTAAATTTATAATAAAAGACAAAGCACGAGAAAAAAACTGCAAGATTCTCTGCCATCGTCTCCCTTGCCTGATAATCTCGATGCAAAATTATTTTATATTGCTCGCACCGAGTCATATTTACTTCGTTTCCGTTGTTTTTTTTTGCGTGTGTTTTTATTTTGATCTTTAATGTTTTTACTTGCGAATTTTCTGACGGCTGAACTTGGTCATGAAACGGGTTAGGTTTGAATGCAGTCAGCAGTCAGCTCCATGAGCTTGTTTTATTATCGAGCTTATTTATTTATGGAGCTGATTCTCTCACAATCTTCATGATGTTGTTTATGCGTCTTCTTTTTAAACTAACCTTTAGCGTCTAGTAAAGGACGAATCTTAATTAAATACCCAAAGAAGATTCCCTAATCTTACGGACTGCCCTACCAGAGACTCCCTTGAGATGTGAAATCTTTAGACATATCACGATGAAAAAATGCAACGTTATTTTTGAGTTACGGCATGTGAAAAGCTCTTCTTTTATTTTAATTCATTTTTTCAAATTGTAAATAGTTGTTTACTGCTCAATGCTCATATATTTGACCAGTAATATCACTGAAATAAAAGTTCCATAAATGAATCAACGTGTGCCTGTTTGTATGTTCTTTTTTCTGCCATTTGAGTCTTTTATACCTCAATGCAAAGCTTAACAGATTGTAAAACTATTGTTCAATCGAATTCATGTTATTTACCTTCTAAATATCAATATTAATTGATTTTTCAATATTATTATAGATATATTGGATAGAAGAATATAATAGATGAATTTTGACAATATTAGTATTTGTACTTTTACCTATGCTCGGTGCTGGCTATGGGTCTACACCCAATATCGGGCCACTTCATCTCTGAGCACCACGCCTTCCTGTGAGGCGTGGAGGCCTACCTTCCTGTGAGGCGTGGAGGCCTACCTTCCAGCGAGGCGTGGAGGCCTACCTTCCTGTGAGGCGTGGAGGCCTACCTTCCATCGAGGCATGGAGGCCCACCTTCCATCGAGGCGTGGAGGCCTATCTTCCAGCGAGGCGTGGAGGCCTGCCTTCCAGCGAGGCGTGGAGGCCTACCTTCCAGCGAGGCGTGGAGGCCTGCCTTCCTGTGAGGCGTGGAGGCCTACCTTCCAGCGAGGCGTGGAGGCCTGCCTTCCAGCGAGGCGTGGAGGCCTACCTTCCTGCGAGGCGTGGAGGCCTACCTTCCAGCGAGGCGTGGAGGCCTACCTTCCTGCGAGGCGTGGAGGCCTGCCTTCCAGCGAGGCGTGGAGGCCTACCTTCTAGCGAGGCGTGGAGGCCTGCCTTCCTGTGAGGCGTGGAGGCCTACCTTCCAGCGAGGCGTAGAGGCCTGCCTTCCAGCGAGGCGTGGAGGCCTACCTTCTAGCGAGGCGTGGAGGCCTACCTTCCTGTGAGGCGTGGAGGCCTACCTTCCTGTGAGGCGTGGAGGCCTACCTTCCTGCGAGGCGTGGAGGCCTGCCTTCCAGCGAGGCGTGGAGGCCTACCTTCCAGCGAGGCGTGGAGGCCTGCCTTCCTGCGAGGCGTGGAGGCCTGCCTTCCAGCGAGGCGTGGAGGCCTTCCTTCCAGCGAGGCGTGGAGGCCCACCTTCCTGCGAGGCGTGGAGGCCTGCCTTCCAGCGAGGCGTGGAGGCCTACAGCTTCTACGGTCTGATGAACCTCATCAGCTTCAACGCGAGCTGCCACTGCGAACATTAGACTTCCTCTTTCATCCCAGGCTCTCGGTTACGTATGGTGAGACGAGTTCTATTCCGTAGTGATGAGATCTATTCAGTATGATAGTCGCTACTACTCAATTTGCTTGTAAAGTAAAATTTATTAGCATACAAATTAGCTGTGGGATTGTGTAAAACGATTACAATCGATATTATTTTCAACTGCGCAAGACGGCACCAGAGTTCTACAACACGTTGCCTGACTGCAAGTCGTGGGTGAAGGCCACCATCATGAACCCGCAAGTCAGGCTCACCACCCTTCACGTAAGGCATGCGATCACAAACAAATACAATGCCAAGGAAAAACCTTCGCTGCTGGTTGAGGAACTTCCATGACACACTTTTTTATCGACTTATCAAAGACATAAATCTAATCAAACTTTATTAGTTAAAGACGTAATAAATTCGTAATAATTCGAAGCCGAGTGACGATTTATTATAACTGTCCAGGTGAAAACATTGCTGGAGTTGGATGTCCTATAGGTCTGACGCTGACTAAATTTTATTAGCTGATCATTTATATGGAAATGACGTGAGAATGAGAAATATTCCAAATCGTTCGCATGAAAATACGTATTTGAAGGTTATAGGTCCATTGATAGCCCATCGAGTCTTGAGTAGACTAAATGTTCAATTTAAAGGTTTAATTGTTTCTATACCGCACACTATGATTTCACTTAACGAAGACAAAAGGAGAAGTAAAGTGTTACTGATACTTTCTATATTTATTGGTCCTATGACTAGCATGTAAAAAGAATTTTCTAACGGATAAAATCTGCTATCAGGCGACTATGTAAACTATTAGAGAAATACTACAAGATGAGCGTAATAGATTATTCAACGTTCTAATGTATATATTTGTTAAAGAAGAAATTAGGCTGTCCAATTGACAACCCATGTGGGAAAGCAAAAAAAAAATACCAACAAAATATCAAGCGTAATAGTTTTCAACCTAATTTTAGGAGCCATCACTGGAAGTGTCTGTCTCGAGAAAAATGTTAGGCGGCATCTGGCAACTCTGCGCGGTAGCCAAGTTTGTTCACCAGAAACCTAACAAATCGCCGGATAAACGCCGTGGCGAAAGAAAACTTCATTTTTACAGGTTTAGCTTCAGTTCTCGTCTATCACAAATACTCATAGCCACAATCCATCACACAACTAAAAGCAAAGCAAGAAACTTATGATCTATGAAACAAATTTCAGCTGCGGAGCCGCAGCTGACGCATACTTCGTGGCCTGAGGAGAAGGAAGAAATGTGCCAGGACGACCTACGGCACTGACTAAGTGTTGGAATAAGTAAACAGATCTCGCATAATATCAAAATTTCCGCTAAAATGAAGGCTTCTATTAAGGAAAGTAGCCCCAGCGGACGAGAAAAAGAAGCACATTGGTGCTTTACGGGGCAGCCGCGGCAAAGCAGCATTATATTCATGAGCTCAAACACGATACAAACTCTAGGTTTGAATGACGCAGTTATGGCCGTTACACACTGTTAGAAAAATTACCGTTAACGGTATTACCGGCGTTTCAGTGGCCGGTCAGTGCACGTGAAAAGAAACACCGTGTCGCCGTTTTTATGCTAATTTAACACTAGAAATCCGTAAAACATCGGATAAAAACGGCGAAACAGTTCATTTCACGGGGTGACCGGCCACTAGAACGCCAGTGGGACCGTTTTTTTCAGTTTTTCTTTTTCTAACAGTGCAGTAGGCGTTCAAACAGAGAAAGAATACCCACAACGATATATTATGACCGGCTGTAACCCTTCAATTTTGTTAACTATACACATTCTAGTTAATTTTTCGCTGGTAAAAGTTCAGATAAAAGAATTTCGGTAATTCGAAATCTCTACACATTGTAAAATGAACTAAAAATTATAGAGTTGAAAGAGGAGCGCGATTGTGTTTTCAGAAGTAGCGCACAGTTGTGATTGGTCAGTAAGCAACGCGCAGCAATATCGACTGTTACGACGTGGAAATCATTTTACTGCTAAACATGAATTAACTGTTATAACACGATACCTCAACTGTCACATACACGAAACGCTCGTTATATTGTCGTGCATATTAAGCGACGCTAGTATACTGGCGAGTGAAACGGACGAATGTCCACTCGTGAAGAGGACACGAAATCACCTTTGAGAGGTAATTACCATTTGAAAGCACTCAGTTAGGAAATTCGTAGAGCTACACAAAATTTTGAGCGTTGACAAGTATGAAAGTTGAAGTAAACCGAAGTACAATGAAAGAATATTAAATACGAGCGTACATCGAGATCTACTACAACATGCCATAAAATATCTCTCGCCTCTGAATTACAAGAACAAATCTGGTGAAGAGAAAAAATAGAACAGCAGAAGTAGTTTTGTGCGTCTCACTGAAAGCCCCGAAAACGCAGGTAAGAAGCACAACGCAAGAAGAACGTCTTGCTCCAACAGATAACGGCAATCTTTCGAATAAAATTACTACACGCACAGACTAAACTAGTAAAAAATCATTGCGCCCTCAGCACGGGGTAGGAAATATTGCTGTGGAAATTACACATGGAACTTAGCAGTGGCCACAAGGTTAAAAAAATGCCTCCCTCTGGAGGTCTAGCTAAGCGTATCAAAACTATGGTCATACACGAGGATAATTACCTACTGAACTCGAGGCTTATTTTGTCACTGCAGCAACTTGCTCGATGCAGCAGCTGGCTTTTCAGCTCAACTCTATGACAGTAACGCTCGTTACCAGGCTCTTAGATGCTAATAGCATTGAAGAAAGTTAATGCATTCGCAGTCAAATGTTAATTAACACAATGAGGTTAAAAATCTCTAAGTCTAAGGTGTGTCAAACCCTACGCAGCTAATTCAGTGTTTCACATCAGAAAATTGTAACCTAAAGCTTGAGGACGCTTCAAATGGACTTGACAGCTAATTCCTTCCTGCCACAAAACTCAAGAAAACCTGAATGAACATCAACAAAAAGGTGATTCTAACACAGATAATCAATACCCTCGTATTGATTATCTCATATTAATACGAGATAATCAATATTGATAATCAATATTGATTATCAATCAATACTCTCGTATCCCTAGTCATAACATTGGAAAAAGAAGAAAACTTTGGCGTAGCAAGTCATGGATGTAAAGCGCCGAGACGAGACCGCTCGCCCGCCTCCCAGGAGAGTTTCAACATCCACGTGACGACAAGTGATGTTATCGTCATAATCCTCAAAATCAAGCTCAGAAAACGCGGACAAAGAATTGGAATCGAAGGTAATCTTCCCCATCAGCTAATCAGTTTCTGCTCATTTCGAGGAATATCAGAACAACATGAGTAATAATATTGTCTCTTAATTGTCCTATTAAAAGGAAACCTTCAATACAGGAAAAACAGTCAGTCAGTTTGCCAAGGAAACTTGGCGAACTGACACCGCTCTGCATTCCGAACGCAACAAGCGATGAAAAGGAGCCTAGGAGTTCAGATCACGAGACCGAACTACATATGGCCGGACAGATAGCAGGTTGATCGACTCTGTATTGCAGAAGGCTTTGAGAAGGAGCACGTAATTTTTGGCTGCATGTAAAGAACCAACCACAAGCGCTTGCATCTATATTGTTCATTACACAAAATATTTCAGAGCAGGCGGGATGTTCATTCGTCCCAAGGTCTCACTGGCTGCAGGCCTCTGATGGAGCGCGTGTGTGTTACGGCAACTTTCGTACAAATATACACTCAGAGAAATTAGTGGTCCAAAGGATGCACTATTATGTCTCAAGGCACGAGCAATAAGTGGCCGAATCAGTGCTACTAGCTCGCGTAAGTGTTGAAGTCTTTCGAAACTGATCTGTATCTTATTGCCTACCAAAACCGGGTCAACATGACGCAAATGGGAGAGAATGGTTGGAAAGAAGTGCATCTTTTCTTACAATTGAACCATTTATTTTTCGGAGTAAAAATCTAGGAAAGCCGCACGTGTCTACCTCTCTCGGACATTATATACCTTCTTTATTTATAAGAAAAGATGGATCTACATCATTCATAAACGCAAGATATCTGCAGCATTCATTAACAAGCTGTACCTACTTCATTCATGAACAAGCTTTACCTACTTCATTCATAAAGAAGAGGTAACGGTTGCATTCATAAAAGTAAGAAACCTGCATCATTCGTGAACAAGCGGTACCTGCTTCATTCATGAACAAGCGGTACCTGCTTCATTCATGAAGAAGGGGTACCTGCTTCATTCATAAACAAGGGGTACCTGCTTCATTCATAAACAAGGGGTACCTGCTTCATTCATAAACAAGCGGTACTTGCTTCATTCATAAAAGTTAAGTACCTGCTGCATTCAAGAACAATTCCCTTTTTTTCGTTTGCCAGAAACCTCAGTCTATGCTCAACTGACAGCAGCGAGCCAGGCATACACTACAGAACTAGTAAATGTCTTCTCAGCGATGCATGGGCTGCAAACATATACTAAAGTTCGCAACTGTACTGTCAACATCTCTTCTCATATAAGTGTACATGAATAAATAACAAATGGGAAACATTTACATGACCAATATAAAAATGTTGTAATAAGTAACTTCAACTCGGGAAATATAAATTCAACTGAGCTTGAATTTAGCATAGCAGTAAACATGATTACGTCTTGCGTGTTGGACTTCTCACTTATTCTCAAGTACCATCATCGTCTGATTTTACATATAAATTTCTCACACGCACAACCGATGGATTATTATAACAATTAAAATTTCCAGCTTGATTTAGCTTCCAGTTTACAGAGCAGATTTGTTGAAAGGTGTTGGATTTCAAAGCCATCACAAATGCAATCACTGATGTGGGTGATAAAAAGGTGGGTAATAACAAGGTATGTAGCTGAGGGTGATAACAAAAAAACATGCCTCATGATTTCTTGTTATCACCAGAAATCTTGGGACCAGAAGTCATGCTTCATGGTCACGCAAAGCGGTTGCTGTACAATATTAAAGTTTGGCCAATATCAACCACCATGAAGTTGAACAAATTAATTAATTACTTCACAAAGTTGACAAGAACTCTCTTTTATTCACGAACACAATTAGTCACGTGATCACAACCACCAAAGTTTCGCCATTCTAATTTTGCGATTAAATGAAGCAATTATAGCGGCAGGACCCGGCCTCTAAACAACCTCTGGCCTGAACCAGTTGCCGCCACTACATATAACAAAGCTCTCTTCAAGAGATTAGTGCGCGAAATGTTGATGCAAAGAGGCATTTGAAAATGGCCTCCCGTCACACGGATGTACTTATCGTCATTCGCTGGTGACGGTTTTGCCGCTTGATATGAAAGATGCATTCGACATGATGTCGTATGCAACAATTTATGAATCCTGCATTTGTGGCGGGTGTGACCTCATGAAATATGAACGAATGTCTATCAAACCTTACATAATGGGATATATAAAAAACAATAAAAAAAAACATTAGACAAAAACAGGATTCTAACATTACAGGATCTCAGCAGCGTTTGGAGCAACGTTTAAAGGAGAACATTGTTGGCTGTATACGGCAGTTAGACTTAAAACAGTCAAACCATCTACGACAAAATAAAATTCTTGTCCTCTTAACATTTCCAATAGAATTTATACCGGCGTTAACGCACACAAATTCATTGAAGCTGAAGTTTGTTGTGAGCTAAGCAGGCTTTAATCCTGAAGTGGGAGCTGGTGATGTGAACTGATAGGACGCTTCTCAGAGCGGTCGCGAGATCTTCGTCAGGATCAGCTGACACAAGAAGCTGAAGACGAGCACCCCCAGCAGGTGCGTCCAGGGCATGCGAGATGGGGGGCTCAGCCGCTGGCTGCCCAGGGATGAATTCACGCCGTCCATCTGCTGCCGTAACTTCTGCACCTCCTGCAGCAGACGCACCTGCGTGCTCTCCAGGCGCTCCAGGGCGCTGCTCACACAACTGCAACATAGGACGCGGGTTGCGAGGCAAAAACGACAACACGAGCAGCACCTGATATTTTATAATCATTTATAGAAGCTATGTAGGGCATTTAAATGGACAGCTTCTAGTGCTTCGTTGGTGCTTAAGCAAAGGGCATCAAAGCCGGGCACAGAGCTTCAAGTATGAAACCAATCCACGTACAATTGATGTAACATCTCGAGATAAAACTCAACTAATTGATAATTGATTCAAAACAATTGTTGGACTATATAGAAATACTGACCTAACAGCATTGAGGTCAGCCGCAGCGGTGGTGTGGCCACCTGCAGAGGACGTGGCCATGACGAGCGGCGTCGGGATGAGGGGATCAGAGAGGTCTGTGGTGGGGGACTCTACACCCTCCGTCACCCCCATCAGTCTGGGGCCAGGCTCCATCATCAGACACTTGGGGTCCATGGAGATGATGGACGCGGTGAGTGAGGTAGCCTGGCTGCCGGAGACGCAGGGGGCGGAGGACCTACCCTCCTTGAGGTGCTTGTGGCGGGTTTTGGTGCTGATGCGATACTCGTACTCGTACTGGTGCAGGTCGGTGCGCGGGTCCCACGGCCGCAGGTCCGCATAGTTGTACACGTAGGCCCCCGTCAACGGGTCCTGGGGGCAGGGGGGGCGAACTTTATAGCGGGGAATATAGTAACTAATGTTGGAGCACTCCTTGCTTAGGGACCAGACTCACCACTGATGACACCAGCACTCACCACTGAGGACACCAGCACACACCACTGAGGACACCAGCACTAACCACTCAAGACACTCACCTGAGTGAAGTATTTAGGCTGCCACTCAAGACACTAACCACTCAAGACACTCACCTGAGTGAAGTATTTAGGCTGCCACTCCTCGCACTTCGCCTTGCGCTCCCTGACGTCGGAGCGCTGCACCTCCTCCAGCAGACTCTTCTCCTCCGTCGCCGCAACCTGGCGTTGTACATCCGCCAGTTAGTTATGGGTCTTATGGTTATTATTCCTTATGATCATTATTCGTTATGGTCATCATTTACTGTGGTAGGTTACGGTCGTTATTACAACTTTAATGCGTTAATGGTTGCAATACAGTGGTAATTACCCATACAAACATTGCAATGTAATACATCGTACAGGGTAAAGACATAGCAATACAAGGAACTAATGAGTGATAATAAGAAATAACAGGAGTCAGAAGGTGATAACAAGGCAGCCGGAGGTTATAACAAGGCAGCAGGAGGTGATAAAAAGAGATAACAAGGCAGCAGTGGGTGATCACAAGAGATAACAATGCAGCAGGATATGATAACAAGAGATAACAATACAGCAGGTGGAGATAACAAGTGACCTGGTCGTCGTTGCGGATGGCCTGGGACACGAGGAGCCACAGACGCTCGCTCTCCATGGGGCCCTGCTGCTCCGGCGTCACTGTGAACCGCGGCAGGCGACGCTCCTGCCCACGATGCGTCATTACAGCGCGGGTTTATTGATGATCACCATTATTAATAACTGCATTATAGCACAATTAATTACTCTGTATTACCTTTGATAACCTCTTATTTACACAAATAATTACTCCGTACAACCTCTTATAACCTCTTATTTACACAAATAATTACTCCCTTCATTTATTGATAACCTTTAATAAAGGTGACGAAAGACAACGAAACTGGGCACTCCGTACAACCTTTGATGACCTCTTATTTACACAAATAATTACTCCGTACAACCTCTTATAACCTCTTATTTACACAAATAATTACTCCCTTCAATTATTGATAACTTTTAATAAAGCTGACGAAAGACAACGAAACTGGAAAGTGTTTCATCACTCGACTTACTGGCTGCCGTGCTACCATAACACGACGTACACAGCTGTACACAAATCATGCACACAAGACAGCAATGCTTGTACATATCAATTGTGTCCAGGACACGAGGGTTTGAATCCCGGCGTGAGAGGATGATACGAGAGCGGCCAGCGCCGTGGCCGTACAGCGACCGTACTATTAGGATTCGCTGAATTACAAGTAACGGCATAAGTACGCCTCGAATATTCGGACAAAACTGGATAGTGCGGCGAACGTCTGGTGACAACANCATGCTTTATTGAGAGTTGGTTGCATTGGTTGCTAGAAAAAAAGGCTCACAGTAGAAATTCTGTCTCTTATACACATCTAGATGTGTATAAGAGACAGCACCTGCACGCAGTAAAAACAGTCAACACCAAGGGCATGACATGACTGAGGGCATGACCTGACTGAGGGCATGACCTGACTGAGGGCATGACATGACTGAGGGCATGACCTGACTGAGGGCATGACATGACTGAGGGCATGACCTGACTGAGGGCATGACCTGACTGAGGGCATGACCTGACTGAGGGTCAGCCAACGACAGCAGATGACAACTTATCTTCCGTTCGCACGTTCTTCTTGTTAAATGATGTCAATGGTATGATCTACACCTGATAATACATATAACATAATTTCATAACATTGATAAAATAATACAAATTAATAATATTTAAGAGTTCTCCCTCTTATCTATAATGGTAATACGTAACTCCACATTACCAAAGACCGCTTCAAGGATGAAGAATAGCCCCAGTATTGTCATCAAGGCAAAAATTTCGGTAGATGGCTAAATGATGCATAGTAATTATGTTGTAGATCAGACCGATTTTAAATTAGCAATTAGGCTAGGAACACTACAGCAACCTCCCTTTTTTTTAGCAAAATATCATGTAAACATAAATAGCACTCATGGATGATGAATACGATGAGTATGCACCTGCTCGGCGACGTAGAAGGTGCGGGATCCGTTGGGATGTCGCCAGTAACAGCGAAAGGTTTCGCCCAGTATTGGGTTGTAGGGTTTCTTGAGGCCTTTAGGTTTCTTGTAGAAACCTGACAGATACCATCTCACCACCTCCTTCATGCGGTCAAATGGATCATCTTCTTGTACAGCTCTGGGGACACGGGACGCTTGTTATTATACGGGCTACTGGGGACACGGGACGCTTGTTATTATACGGGCTACTGGGGACACGGGACGCTTGTTATTATACTGGCTACTGGGGACACGGGACGCTTGTTATTATACTGGCTACTGGGGACACGGGACGCTNCGTGGCAGCAGTCAGTACCTGGACAGAATGTCTGCGTGGCAGCAGTCAGTACCTGGACAGAATGTCTGTGTGGCAGCAGTCAGTACCTGGACAGAATGTCTGTGTGGCAGCAGTCAGTACCTGGACAGAATGTCTGCGTGGCAGCAGTCAGTACCTGGACAGAATGTCTGCATGGTAGTAGTAGTCGGAGAGTTTGTCCAGGAAGCTGCGAGGCTCCAGGATGAAGGTAGGCAGGACGACCCTGCTGAGGTCCATGCCAGGTCTGACCTGCTTCACCAGGCACCAGATCAGCGACTTGTTCTCTTCCCCCAGCTCCTCCTGCTGGCCTCCTCCGCCCTGCACATGTACAGGACATGAGTGACATCTGCACGCTCTTAACACGTACTTTGCAACACATAAAGAATGAATCAACACCTCAATACTCGTATTCTTCATATAAAAAAGGTCTTGCAACCTCCAATGCACATAAAGAAAATTGTTTAACAGCCGTTGTCTTCCTTGGAGTTCAGGGCGCTAGAGTCTCGGTCTACGGGATTATTCTCACTTCAGTACTCTGCCACTCTGCCGCCTGCCTGTAGGCAGTATTTTGCAGGCAAATCTTGTGGGACCCCGAGACGCAGTGGATCTGAGACCTCTCATCTGCTCTCCTGGCCAGCTGATGCCATCAGTTGGGCCAGCTGATGCCCTCAGTTGGGCCAGCTGATGCCTTCAGTTGGGCCAGCTGATGCCCTCAGACTTAACCTAAACTATTTTCACATACACCAATTAATCTAATAGTACACGCACTCACGTGAGGCTCACAGGGCAATGCTGCCAGTCACTAAGCCTCAAGGACTAAACCCCATCAATAATGGCCCCACGCTTCAACGTTTGTGGTACGGCTTTTAATTAATGGGACAGTGAAAAAAAAATTATTTAGATTAGGTTGGGCCACGGCCTACACAACGCAACCCTTAACCAAAACTTCACCGTCAACAGGAGCTGTAGAAACTACGTCGTACCTCGCACACAAACTCCTCGTGGTTCTCGATGTAGGAGGTCTCGACGTGCTCTTCCTCCTCCTCTTCCTCATCATCGTCGTCCTCCAGCACGTCCTCCTCATCGTCTTCGTACTCTTCGTCTTCGTCGTCACCAGGCTGCTCAGACGACACGCTGCTGTTCCCGCGCAGTCGTCTGCAGTCACAAGGCGTTATTATAGCTCAGGGACAAGCCTGTCAGTTTGTGATGAAGAAATGGATAGCAATCAATATCAAAAATAAGAGTTCGTAACTGCGTCAGCCAATCACTGACGGCTGTTTACGCTAAACAAGACAATCACAGTCTTTAATTCCACCACAACGTGAAACTTAGGCCGCTACGTGTAATCAAGCGAGTTGTGAAAGTTCTGCCTCCAGTTTTCATTCTTGAATTGCTATTTTATAACCAGCAGACAAAAGATCCTCACCTATACTTTCAAAAAAAGTTAAGAGATCGAAAGTTCATCAGCCAATCATTGACGGCCTTTCAAGCAAAATCCACCAATCATAGACAAGAAAATAGAGCGTAAGTACTTACGCTCACTTAGCGAGTTTTGAAAGTATGGCCCCCTGTCAGGTTGGTCGCTAGCAAATTAGTAATAAGTTGTGTTTCTTACGGCGAGGTTGATTGATCATCCACATTTGCTGACACTCGGGAGCGGTTGTCGTTACCGGTTTGGTTCGGGCGGGAAACAACATCGAGCCTAATACAATACCTAGTATACATAGCCTTTGAAGTTTCAAGGCATTCATGCGTACCTGATCTTCTTATGGGTAATGGTAAATGCATTCTTATGCTGCATGATAAATGCATCATTTATGTATATAGCAATTCACTAGAAAAAATGTACACCGGTACAAGAAAGCAATATAGCATGCAGTTCACCTTGCTGGGTCTTCGACAGCCTGGCCTGAAGCGTCGCTGGGCCGTTGCAGCCGACGACGCGGTCTGTGAGGCGGCCGCTGTTGCTGCTGCTGGGGTTTGGGCACGCCGCTGCTGCTATTGTTGTCGTTTGTGGTGGTGGTGGTGGTTGCCGCCACGGTCGTGTTGTCGTCACTGTCCGTGTCCGTGCCGTGGCCACATGACGACCGCTCTTTCTCGTCAGTGTGTGAAGCGTCGTCCAGATCTGTAGACACGATATCGTCAGTAGTTGTGCCAGTTTTGCTCATCAAACAGTGGCTATTAATCTAAATGCGTAGAAATTCTAAATTCTGATGTGACCAACACATAAGAAATAGTTAAAAGTTAGTAACTCTGTTAGCCAATCAGTGACCGCTACTCAAACTGCACCCATCAATCACAGACGGGAAATCGGTCGTTTCATGTACTTAGACCGCTCCTTGTACTTTATAGAGATTTTATAGCACAGCCCCAGATTCCTACAGCGTGCGAGTCTCAAATAGAGCAATGTATTTAATTTATGTTACAATTCTAGATGGATGAGAGTACTGAGATTTGAAGAATATTGAAGTTTTTAGTAAATGCGCTAACATCAACTATTTAAAATTGTTCATAAACACTCGTACGTTGTTTGAACACAATGACACATGAGCGCAAAAAATGAATGTTATTTGATCACACTGAACATGTGATTCGGTCACAAATTTAAATGTTATATTGGCACAATCAAAAAAGAAAAGTTGGTCCGTCTACGATTGTAATTTCGGCACAACTGTATATGAAAATTGCACAGCACAAGACCGTGAATGTACGTCCAATTCGTTGCGAGGCATTGCGTAGAAATTCGTCGACAGTGATTGCCTTTGAAGTTCCTTAGCATTTGACACAAGTATAGCTCGGGTGACTGCTTGTAGACTTGTATAGATAAAAAGTACACATTTTTTAGTGCATTACGCATTTAGATCAATACATTAAGCATATATAGGTCAACACATCACGCATTTAGATCAACACATCACGCATTTAGATCAACACATCACGCATTTAGATCAACATATCACGCATTTAGATCAATACATCACGCATTTAGATTTACCGACGCAGTAAGTGTAAATGATGTGAAAATATCATGAGTAACTTTGAATATTTGTAAAAATATATGTCAACACAGAGCTGGAGTGCCGCCAAGATGCAAAAATCCTCAACGCTAACCGAGTTAAGCGCACACAAAATACTTATTCAAGAATATCAAACTGGACAGAACTGTACTAAGGAAGCCATTCTCGGCCACGCCACGAGACGAAGCGCAAACCCTCCAGCCACGTCACTCTATATGACGCGTCGTAAACCTCAGCCAAACTGGGACTATACCTTCAAAATTTGCTACGCGAACGTAAGTACTTAAGCTCTATTTTCTTGTCTACGGTTGGTGGATTTTGCTTGAAAGGCCGTCAATGATTGGCTGATGAACTTACGATCTCTTAACTTTCTTTGAAAGTATAGGCCCAGGGCACTAAATAAAGCAAAAAGCGATGAAAAGTCCAGACTGAAGAGGCTGAGTCAGTATCAGCTACCAGCTGAGTTAAGATAAGCCACCAGCTGAGTTAGGATAAGCCACCAGCTGAGTTAGGATAAGCCACCAGCTGAGTTAGGATAAGCCACCAGCTGAGTTAAGATAAGCCACCAGTTGAGTCATGATAATTCGCAGACATTAAATATATTATACAGTGAACACAGTCACAATTGGATTTGAATATACATATAATTATGTTATGTATAGTCGTTTCCTGAAACATGGAGTACACGAGTTTCGAACTGCAGGTCTTTCAACCATTCGTACATTTTTAAATGAGGCCACACGGAATTATTGGTATCGAATTGAGAAGAAGAAGAGACAAGAGGAGAGGTAAGAAGAAGAAAGCGAGATAGAAGCAAGATAAGCGAGGTGGAGATCGTTTATTGTCGAAGTTATGAAACCAAGTTATGTCATCATGAAGCCAAATTATGAAATGGTTTATTAGAAAATACTTTGTTTGATTGTATGAATGTCTGGCCAAATATAATAGCTGACGATATGCATGTTCAGATGGGGTTTTGATAAGTTCATTCATAAGTTCTCACTTGAAAGCAGCATTAGCATCAGAAATACAGCAGCGATCCGTCACAGGGAAGGTACATGCAAAAATCAAGAGGAAAGAAGGTAGAGGAAGCATGGGTAGATTTTTCTTAGTCTCGAGTTTGAAAATTCAACAGGAAGCATAAAGTTTTCCTAATCAAATTAAAGAGCTCAAGAAAAGAGGTAATTTAAAGAAGAAGAAAAAGAGTTATCAGGCATTACTTAAGAGTTACCTGGACGTTGGGTCAGTCCGAGGGAAGATTGACCTCGAACAGGGGAGCAAAGAAGGAAGGAAGAGACAGGAGGCTGATTAACAGAACTAAAGCGAGCTTTGTTAGCTTTGATCAAGTCTCTGGATTCTGAAGCACGAACTCTGGGCGACGAAATCCTAGCATAGGGATTTGAAGACGAGCGACTAAGAACGGCAGTAACCCCTTTTCTCTTGTCGGTTGGTGAGCGGTGTGACGGCAGTAATGGCACTACACTGCTGCTATGAACAGCAGTAGAAGAAAACTTCTCCAGATTACACTCCGATTTTATGGAAGGAACTGCACGGTCACATTTACAGGATTTCAGGGTGGACTCCGCGCGTTGTAGAATCTTGGGAAAACAACCAACACGATAACAGGAATCGCATAACTGATCGGCTATCTTCTCGGCGCTAATGATGTCTTGTTGGCGATTCTTCAGTGAAGTAATCATGAATTTATACCTCCTTAGGAAATCTTCATCAGCTGACGCGACTAATGACGATGAAGGTTTGAGGTAATGGTTTGGAGATGAACGGTTGTCTATTACTTCATTGGTTGCGCTCAGCTTGTCAACCGAATTGGCAGGGTTCGTGAGTTTTTGAATGATGCCATCGGACATGGCGCATTCATTGCTATTGGCTATCAACGAGCTGAAATCACTACATTTGTACCGACCCTTAGGTTCGGGAGTCAAGAAACGTTTAGGAGCTACAAGAGCTCTACCCGCGTCATCCAAGAGACATTTTCTCTTCAGGTTTGGCGTGAAGAAAGGCCTGGGGATGAGCTTACTAACTGGTCCAAGTGCTGTGCGAGGGCTTGATTTAATACGCGTTGCTTGTGTATCCATGACATCGGTTTGGGGCAATTCTTTCTTCTCGTTTAGTTTAGGAGTTAACGCTCTAAGCACTGTGAGAGTCCGGCTACCGATAGGCTCGCTAAGTTTCTTGCGTGGACATTTAGACTGCAGCTCAGGGGTGAAGAAAGGCTTGGGCTCGTGCATCAACTTCTTGACAGGCTGCGGAGTGTGGCTGGAATATGGCGGCGGTCTTCGTAAGATCAGCGGACGGCAAGAATGGTTCAAAGGAACGTCGGCCTCGAGTTCACGAGAAGCAGCGACCGCATTCACATGCGCAAGAGGTGTAGTGGCAACAGCCTTCGCTTTCAACGATAACAATTTGGGAACCCTATCAATATTACATTTCGCATCAGATTCTCTAATACTTTTAGAAAACTTTGGTGAGGTTGTGATAGAAGACAAACTATATCGATCTTTATAAGTGCTTCTGGTATTTTCTTCGTTATAAAGAACAAGAGACGATGGATTCAGGATCGTGCTTCCAGCAAAGTCAAGGGATTGTCTGCGGCCGATGCTGGCAATAGTTGGTCGCCTCAGCACAGCTGTCGCAGTGCGCAGAGGTGAATTATTTGGCTTCGAGTTATGACTAGAAATGGCGAAGACGTGGTCGCTGGCACAGCTCGAGTTGTGATCTGGTAGACGTGGCTGGGCAATGGCAGGAGGTGCAGGCTGATCACGGCAGCAGGGACGGACGTTCTCCTCTAATGTTACGGAGTTGGAATGAAGAGTAGCGACGGGAGTGAAGCAGCCCTTAGGCACAGTAATGCTCACTGGCGATGAGGTGAAGGTGATAGAGGTGAGGGAGGTAGAGACTGGGGAGGCTGTTGTGATGGAGGCAGTTGTGATGGAGGTGGTGGTGAAGCAGGTGGTGGTGATGGAGGTAGTTGTGATGGAGGCAGTGGTGCAGGAAGCAGTGTTTGATGACACACATTGGACCACCGCACAAGGTTCCTGACCTGCCACCCCGGCCGCTAGACGGGAACCACGCTGACCTTGGAAGTCGTCTACCGCCGCGGGAAACACACTATTCTATAATATTAACACATTAATGCTTTGTAATATCAATTCTATCTAAATCCAACTAACGGCTGGACACTACAACGCAGGAAAATTGAAGGTTTCTTCAAGAGCAAGAAATGTTCAACCGTTACTCAATCTCGTAATGAAGCAAACCGAGAAAGTAAGTCCATGCTAGTAGTTGTTAAGTAAAAGCAATCCCTTGGCGCTGTATGGGTAAAGTTATAAATAGGTAAATAGATAGTAAGAGATACCTGTGTGATAGCTCAACAACAGAGCGATATTTCAGACAGTGAAATATGTTACATTTCATATCTTATGCCTCACAATAGTATATGCTGACGCTCACACTATTTAGCATAGACGCGGACGGTAAAACGCAACAATCTCAATATGAACCATAGCACAGTTGCAGCCAAGGTAGACGAAATGTAATGATCGGTAGCTGATGCTGAATTATAGGATGTAAAGGTACGCAGAAGTTAGCAAGAGGCTGGATCAGAATACGAGGGTGAATCAAGTTTATTCTTTTCGAATAAAGAGCTGATGATGAACTGCCATTGGAGCAAATTTCTCTGACAAGGTTGACACAGAACATGAGCTATTTCTTTAGTGGAATAATTTAAGAAATTAGGATGGTTGCCAACCTGGATGCTACTAAATACTGCCCCAAGTTTCACTGTCAACTTGGATGAATAATGCACTACCATCTTGGCTGAGAAGAGAAACTGCCAACTGGGATGAGCAGTGCAGAGTAGCGCACTCAGCATTTACCCACATGTCCCTATTTGCCCTCAACCCTGAGCACCTCGTCGCTGACAACAGCTCATCTGCCCCTCCCATTCCCTCATGTTGGTGACTCTCGTCTACATCCTGAGCCGCCATCTGCGCGAACATAACGCCGGCGCAAGAAACAATATCAGCAGCAGCAACATTAGCAGCAGCAGCAGCAACACCAGCAGCAGCAACCTCAGGAGCAGCAACATCAGCAGCAGCAACAACATCAGCAGCAGCACCAGCAGCAGCAGAAACAGCAGCAGCAGCAGCAACAGCAGCAGCAGCAGCAACATCAGCAGCAGCAGCAGCAGCAACATCAGCAGCAGCAGCAGCAGCAGCAACAACAGCAGCAGCAGCAACATCAGCAGCAGCAGTGCTGCTAGAGAAGAAGAATAACAGCAACATCACAGAGGTTGGCACAGCTGCAGTGGACATCGTGGCAGTAGCGAGGAACTACGGGCATACAACAACTAAGGAAGTCACGAGGACGCGCGCAGCTTTCAACCACAGCAAATAATTGCATGGGGAATAAAGTCACGAGACTGCACGAGTTTTGTCTGAACAACCAGGCAGAAGAGCGGATATAAAGCAAACGAAAACAGGGCCAGTGGAAGAAGGAAAGAAATAGAAGGGGTAGTAGGAGACGGAAAAGTGAAAAAAATTCCCTCCCTGACATGAACACGAGAAAGGGCACTCTTGTCCCCCACACAAACAGGGCACTAACGTACACCTCCCACAGCACTGCAGTGCACACCCCGCCGAGATATGAGCGCCCCACACACCACCGGCGCACGGCCGCGACTGGAGAGAGCGGCTGTGTGGCGAGTGAGGGAGAGAGATGGGAACAATGAGGGTGACTGACAATGAGGGAGAGGGTGACTGTGAGCATAGGGGGAGGGTACAAGAGGGTACAATGAGGTAGGAAGGGGGTCAATGAGGGAGAGGGGAGCATGGTGGCGCATACGGCTTCTCTCGCCGGCCTCCCCTCGAGTTAGCGTTGACCACGCGGTGATGATGCTCGTCCTTACAAGCATGTCTATATAATTAGTGACACACTCTTGCTGCACGCGCCGTTTGTTGCACACGCCGTTTGTTGCACGAGTCGTTTGTTGCACACGCCGTTTGTTGCACGTTCGCACCCAGCTCCCGGGTTCTCTGTCTCTCGCACCCAGCTCCCGGGTTCGAGTCCCACTGAGGACAAGTTCTACCGGGATGCTCAGCTCATGGGCAACTCAGCCATTCATCCAACTCTGGTTGAAAAATGAGTACCTGGCTTGTCCGGGGTGTTGTGTAATGCAATCAAATGGTTCTGGCGGGTCAGCGTGCCAGTGATGGCGGGTCAGTGAGTGCCTAGAAAAACTGACCTAGGATCACCTCCTCCCTTAACTAGTTGCCACTACCAGGATGGGCAATTACACACACACACACACACACACACGGCTTGTAGTTCATCAGTTAGGAAGTTGCGCACCCACGTCTAAAACTCTAAATTTACCCCACGTGGTTTTAGTTTTTAAAAAGCACTCAATTGTCTACTTTGTCAAAGGCTTTCGCAAAGTCCAGATATGCCACGTCCATGCCGGCCTCCTCCTCCAGTCTGGCCAAAATTTGAGAGTGATGCTCTAGTAACTAGGACAAGCTAAGGCGATTTCAACAGAAACCGTGTGGGCATATGTTAAAAATGTCAGCCTCTTCTAGTACTGAACCTGGCAACGACCTTCTAAAACTCCTTGATTACATGTTATGTTAATGTCGTCAGCCTGTAATTTTGGGGCGTGTCTCTTGCACGCGGTGAGGGTTAGGGGCTATGTACACATTGCATTGGTTAGGATCACTGCACGCGGGTGGAGCTAGAGGGACTGCACGCAGCAGGGGTTAGAAGCACTGCACACAGAAGGGGTTAGAAGCACTGCACGCAGCAGGGGTTAAGGGTTCATCACGCAGGCGGCTGTTGTACCTGCACAGGGCACGGCACTTACCAGCGGCAACGACACGCCTGAGAAAGGCCACCGGCACCGGCATCACTGGAACTGCTGCGCACACGAACTGTTGATCAGTAACTGCACTGTACACTCAGTAACTGCACTGTACACTGCAGCACAGCCGTGCTAACCAGAGACTGTATGCTCTCTTAAACCGACGCGCAAGAAATGAACGAGCATGAAGAGAGCAAAAGCACGCTAGTCATAATGATTGACTATAAGTACAGTGACAGTGGATGCGACCGCGCCTGGACCAAGGAGGATATCAAGGAAGTGAATAAGTGAAGACCAGGTTGAGAGTACAATACTCGGCACACCCCGCCTAGGGAGATTGCTGTCAATCTCCCTTTTTTGCATGTCAACAACGATTGATAGCAAAGCGCGTTGCGTTTCAGAGATCAAGGTTAAAATATATAAGGTTGACCCACGAGGATTTTCGTCTCAGCTATCTTGTTACGTCACTGCGATCGAGAAACGCAAACAAACCCGTCATTCTCATGATGGATTGGTTGACTGGTTTGATTGCATTTCGGTGATTGGTTAATTCCCGTGACGTCACTGTGACGTCACAGGCGAACACCGAATTACATCCGCAAAAATTAGCTTCTCGCGGTCAACCTTATACTAGTTCAACCATGTGCTAGAAATCCTGATCTCAACAGGTGCCAGCGAGTGCAGGTCAATGGCACTGGCTGAGGAGCCACGCATTCTTCCGAGTCCGAGTAGCCAAAAATATAACTCAGTACTCACTGCAGTGAGTGACAGAGAGCACATTTTCTCGTCGACGAAAACTTGAAGTCACGGACGGACGGACAGACAGACAGACGGGCATGGCGAGTACATTAGTGTATTTTTTCCATATATGAGAAAATGCGCTAAAAATACCTACAATTAGTGTGACGCGCTCTGAACGGATCGGGGGGAGAATGGCCCAAAGTTTACACGAATATTGGGAGTAATTAGAAAACTATACACGAGTAACTATTCGAATAGAGGATGCAGGAAACATAAACAGGGAATTGCTTAGAAAATAACACGATGACAAGCCGACAGCGATTGATGAAAAGAAAGAAATACCTGAAGAGGTGGAGTTGTTGAGTGGGAGAGACGAGGAGAGACGAGTGAGGGAAAACGAATAGAACCGCGTAAAGGGAGCCTAATTTAGGAGGACAAAGACAATTTGGGATAACAGATAACAATCAGACCGAGCAGGGATAGAACGAAGATATGGTTGGGATAAAGCAAAGATAGAACATAGACGGGGTAGGGTTAAGGCAGATACATATTAGGAAAAGGTTAGGGTCGAGGCAGATGAGGGATAGGGCTAGGGTAGGGGCTTTGCAGGGCAAAACTTGCACAAGGCAGGACAGTGACAGAGCAGGCACAGCGCCGAGACAACAGAAACAGGGCAGGGACAGGGAAGGGACAGGGCAGGAACAGGGCAGGGACTGAGAATGAACAGGGCAAGTGCGGATCAGAGACAGGGCAAGAACACGGCAGGCAGAGGGCAAGGACAGGACAGGGACAGGACAGTGCAAAGACATTGCAGGCACAGAGCGGGGTAGAGCAAGGACAATGCAGGGCAGGGACAGAGCAGTTACAGAGCAGGCACAGGGCAGGAACAGAGCAGATGTACCACCCACCCTGGTCCATGAAATGCTTCTCGAAGTCAGCCTCATTCCAGTGGGCGGTGGTGAGGGCGTCAGGAGCGTCACGGCCCGGAGTGGTCGCCATGGAGCGCAGCAGGATGCTGGAGCAGCGCACCGCCAGCTCCATGGCGTCCATCCAGCACTTGCCCGCCGCCTGCAGCACAAATGGATAGATGAACGTGGCGCCGGACTTGCGGCCGTGCTCGTGAAAATTGTTCGAAGTTTGTAACTCCGTCAGCAAATAACTGACTTTTCGTTAAGCTAAAACAACCAATCACAGAGGAGAAATCAGAAGCTACCTGTATTTAAGTTTTGATAGCGGGTCCGTGGGCTGCTGCAAACCTGTAGCATAAATTTTGTTCACAACTGTAATTAATTAACCTCGACAGAAACGTCAGGAACAACCGTCCGCAGCTCTAAGCCGGGATATGGTTTACACTTCCAGATGGCTGTTACATTCAAGTACAGCCCAGTATCACACTCTATGGTCATACATCGTGTAGGATATCTGGCTTCAGTCTTCACTCCCAATCTATGAGCCTTCTCTGCGGCAAAGGATTAAATTCGAGCATGTTAAGAATGCGTTCAAAAAACAAAAAGGTCCATTAAAATCTTATGAATTGAATGTAATGTTTATGAATGAATGGAATATGCAAACGAATCAGGTATTTTATTGTGACAACTTTTATTCTTCTAAGTTGAATCAGGTTCAAAAGAAAGTAATAAGCAGACACTCGATGCAACAAAATTTCCACATCGTTTTCTGCACCCGATGTACCCGTTCCCTCTTTTTCTGAACCCGATCAACAAAAGGGTAGTTAGTTCGTTCGGTCTTTTTATTTTTATTTCTTTATTGGAAATAAAGAGCCCCAAAATATTAGACGAATAAACAATTAATCTTCAAGTAACACACGTCGCAGCACAGCGGGGAAGGCTGTATTATGCGAGTTTCCCACAAACCTAAACACCAGGGGCCATACTTTCAAAATTCGCTAAGTGAACGTAAGTACTTAAGATCTATTTTCATGTCTATGATTGGTGGATTTTGCTTGAAAGGCCGTCAATGATTGGCTGATGAACTTACGATCTCTTAACTTTTTTTGAAAGTATAGGCCCAGAGTCGTGCTACCGAAACTCGCCTTGGTACTCGTAGCTTGAAAATCTGTCATTTATTGGCTGATGGAGTTACGAACTAGTGAGTATTTTTGCTAGTACGACCTCTAATGGAGTTAACCATTACTTCTGGGTAGTATGCCCGATAATCATCATGTCTGCAATCAACCGCGATCATAACCTTGTGATATTCATTAGACAACACTAGCCACTGGGATTACGCTAATATCACCAACGTTAGTTATTTAACTAAACACCTAACTAACTTCAATGTAATTGTGAAGCTGTCACCTGAGACGGGGCTCTGAAGATCAGGTGCGAGGAAGGCAGCGGCTGCACTACAGCGCCTGTAGACACAAATTTATTTTATCCGCACCAACATTATTTTATCCATTAAAACATTAAGTATCAGTAATATTTTCTCATAGAATGCGCATAGCGTCGTCGGAATACAGCGTTTGAATGGCGGGAAAGAGACGAATCACCAGCGTAACCAAGCGTTGTACTGTCGAGATACAAGCGTGTCAACTGTTGAGTCAAAGCGTTGTACTGTCGAGATACAAGCGTGTCAACTGTTGAGTCAAAGCGTTGTACATTAAAGGTATGATCGTGTTAACAAGTATGTCAAAGAGTTGTATTGTCGAGTTAGAAGCGTGTAGACTGTTGTACATTAAAGGTAAGAGCGTGTTAACAAGTATGCCAAAGACTCGAACAGACGAGTTAGAAGCGTGTAGACTGCAGTGCAGGAGCTGACCTATAGACTCTCCCTGTGGACCACGGGTGGCCCAGATGCTCTGCTCCAGAGGGTGGAAGAGCTTGAAGCAGAAGCCGTCCTTCTTGGAGGGTCGCTCGATGATCTCGCACGTATTGAGCAGCACCGTGCCACACCAGTGCCCGCTCTGTGCACCAGTTAGCAGCGTTACAAGGACACAACGTATGCCAGGGTCTATAAGATCTTAATACCCACACATATCTATAATATATATCGAAGAGCAACTCCTGCTTTATATAAATATATATAGCAGGTGTTGCTCTTCGATGCAGGTCGAAGTTCTATATATTGTTCAATGTATAATCCTAAGTAACAAAGGTAATCAATAATAAAATGGTCAATATGAGTGATGTTCTGGTCTTCAGGAAACTGCTTCTGATCAAAATAGCTTGCATGGTCACAGGCGACTTTCAAGGAAAGATCTAAATCTACCGGAAAATATATACACATTACCTTCATATTGAGCATAGCTGATTAATTAATACTTCAATTTCAGCTCCTTCCTTGGAGGGAGCAACTTAGTACTACACGACCTGTATCATGCCCATCACCGAAGTAGTGTAGGCAAACTAGAGTACGATAATAATTCCCATTTATTTTAATTGCATTCATAGGAACAACCTGTTCCGTATGGAAAGTATGTCAACATAACAATCAAAATATTCCAGTATATAACCTGCTAATAACATGGCTTGAATTCATCGTAAGGGAATGAAGAACACACCTTAGCCTTGGAGCTCTTGTAGAGGAGCAGCATGCCCGGCTTGAGCACGCACCAGAGTTTGGTCCAGCCCTTAAGAGTGCCGCGCACCTTGAGCCACTCGGCCAGCACCACCACAGAAGGATCCTTCAGGGTACTGAGCAGTTCCTGCGCGACACGCTTCTTCTCATGTCGGTACTTACGACGCTGGTCCTTGTAGGACTCAGCGCGTGACAACGTCGAGTTGTCGGCGGTCGACCCCAGCGACATCTGCGCGGTGAGGAGGGGGAAAATGAGCCATGGTTGAACTATATAAGGTTGACCCACGAGAAGTTCCGTCTTTCAGTTCAGCTTTCTTGTTACGTCAAGTAGATCGAGAAACGTAAACAAACCGTCATTCCCATGACGGATTGGTTGACTGGTTTGATCGCACTTTGGTGATTGGTTAATGCCCGTGACGTCACTGAGATCAGTGACGTCACAGGCGAACAACAAACTACATCCGCAAAAATGGGCTTCTGATGGGTCAACCTTATACGAATTCAACCATGGAAATGAGCGACTTCCCTGTTAAAATTTACAGACGCTGCAGTTTCTGATTTCGATTACCAGAAGCTGGATCGACTCTAATTTTTTTTAGGGTTCATGTTCTAATATCGACGCACTTTCAGCACTTGTGTGTGGCATACAGACCAAGTAGAGGGCGTATCAGTTCTAAGAGCAGAAAGTGTGTCAATATTTGGGCAATGGGGCCCCCTCATTTTTGTGAGTGCACAGATGGTTAAGGGTACAGTGAGCAACGATATTAATTACGCGATTCACAAAATTAACGGCAAATCATCACACACGCGTGTTGCAACAACACTACTGAGGATTGTTGGCACGTAACAACACGACTGAGGATTGCTGCCACGCAACAACACGACTGAGGATTGTTGCCACGCAACAACACGACTGAGGATTGTTGCCACGCAACAACACGATTGAGGATTGTTGCACACGCAACAACACATTTGAGAAGATTGTTGGCACGCAACAACACGACTGAGGATTGTTGGCACGCAACAACACGACTGAGGATTGTTGGCACGCAACAACACGATTGAGGATTGTTGCACACATTGTTGGCACGCAACAACACGACTGAGGATTGTTGGCACGCAACAACACGATTGAGGATTGTTGCACACGCAACAACACGATTGAGGATTGTTGCACACGCCACAACACATTTGAGAAGATTGTTGCACAGGCAACAACACGACTGAGGATTGTTGCACACGCAACAACACATTTGAGAAGATTGTTGCACACGCAACAACACATTTGAGAAGATTGTTGCACACGCAACAACACATTTGAGAAGATTGTTGCACAGGCGACTGAGGATTGTTGCACACGCAACAATCCTCAGACAATCCCGCAGGATGTACCACGAAAGTATTACAAGACAATACATGCAAATGTGCGCCAGCTCATCGCACAGCTGGCAAGAAGGACGAGTTACTCACGGCGGGCTGGGAGGAGTCCGACGCTCGGTTGGACAACTGCATGTCAGCGTCATAACCTGCACACAGAACAATAACGTTTAAACTCTACAGTACACACGACATCATAATGTTTTGACCTGCATACGACTATGTCATACACATAATAATAACGTTCAACCTGCACACAGAACAATAACGTTTAAACTCTACAGTACACACGACATCATAATGTTATGACCTGCATACTATACGACTATGTCATAACATACAGGGCGTACATTATACGACGAATTTATGTGTAACCGCACTTTACAGACGACGTTATGCCAGGGTGATTCACGGAAACTTCCCGATTTGAAAGCTCAATAAAAAAAAGTTAGTAAAGATATCATTACAATACAAATTTTATTGAAAAAGACATCACCTGAATTTTTGTATCAATTAGTTTTAAAGATGCCATCGGACAAATGATAGCCCTCATTCTCAATGCATTCAGTAAGTCGATTTTTGAAGTTCGTTCAGCTGGCTGAAGCATATCGACGGCTATGTTGGCGATGACTTGGCGTATGTTGCACTTCAAATGAGGTACGGTAGGGTCCTAGGATAGTCATTATGAACAATTGATTTAAGATAACCCATGTAAAAATCACGCGGAGCCTAATCAAGGCATCGGGCCGGCCAAAGGTCACCTCTCAAAGAGATGATACATGCCGATGAGGTTTCCGTGCTGACCGGTGTGGAGAACGCAGAAACGCCTCTCTAACTCTCTACGTTCTCGGGTGTTGTGGCAGTCCGTTGACTTCCTGACCCTCTTGCATTCACACATCCACTTGCACTAAATGTGTTCACCCACGTAACATTCGATTTCCGATCAGAAACTTGACCTGAAGGACGAATGCGGAATGCTCGTTCGCGATAATGGAACGCCCATTAGAAAAGTACGCCTCGACAGCAAACGCACGCTGCTTACTTGTCCAATGCATAGTGGCAACTGACTAGGCGGGACACAAAACTTCATGACCCTGTCATGACCCATATTATAAAATAAGGAAGCTAGAGCATCAGCTTGACCGTGGACTCCGAAGTCCTAAATTCATCACAAGGTCCTGCCTTTCATATGAAATGCCCCCCGCCCTTTTCCTACATCTGGCTGCTTGGCGCAAAATACTCAACGTATACCGTACCGCACATTACACGATGACGTTATAAATAACCACACATTACACGACGACGTCATAACACGTATATCTCACGATACCTTAAACGTCAATGTAACGTATAATAGAAAAATTATGTCAACAAGACGTCGATTTTGGCATACAGGTGTAGGGCGATGCAGAGCAGCCGTGTAATGGGCTCGGCCCTCCCCACATTATACGGCCAGCGAAGTAGCAGCTGATAGTATGTGTGCGTTTGATATATAAAGATCAAAGTATTACAAAATAAGTTATATTTTTCATGTGCATTAAACGAGGCTTTTTTGACTGAGCATATTTAAAAAAATACTTGGGGTTCTCTTTGATGACCTCAACCACTCGCTCTTCCGCGGCTTGTTCTTCCATCCTGTGCGAGACCTGCAGCCTGAGTTCAATATTCTTGTGCAAATTTACTAGCCTCTGTCTTCTCGTATCACTAGTGGATTCAGCTATTTGTTTATTTAATCGCTTGCGTTTTCTCGCGCGGAGGGAGATGCAGCACACCTACACAAGACAGTCTCTTAGCGGAGCCTTCATGCAAGCTCTCACTCGAAGCAGCCACCTTGCCCTCCCAAATAGCATCAAATTACTTCGCCTGCAATCATATAATAACGTTGGACAAACAAGATGAGTCATGCAGCGCCCCTGCCACCATGTGGAGGGAGATGCAGCACACAAAACGCTTGAATTTAGCACGCAAAACTCAGCCAGCAGCTGTAAAACTCGCGAGTGCTTCACACTCACCATCCTGCCTAAACAAGCGTTCTCCGTGCGTTTCTTTTACACACGCAAACGTATATTTTCCACTTTAGAAACGCCGTTTTTCGGGACGTACCTATTATAGGTATTCAAAGTGCGCGGCTTCATGAAACACGCGCCTTGTATTGACACTACACGCAGTGCCTGTACAACCAAGTGTGTATAATTATGAAATGTGTCTCAAGCTGTTGATGACGCAAGACTTGTGTCTTGTAATGTCAATCCACTCAAGTCGTAACTTTACTGGAGTCTTCCGACTGCAAAAAAAAACGTATATTCTCTCAAGAGTATTTTAAAATAGATTCTATTGATATATATGTTCAAAAGTCGCTAGCATACAACAAAACGATCTTTTTTACTGCTAGATATAAACTATAATTTTCTAGTGAGATCTGAACAGCGAGTGTGCAGAGCTGTGCACTATGTGCAGGTGCGACCAGTTAGTGCGCGAGCCAGTTAGGCGATGAGGCAGCCAGTTAGTGAGCGAGTGTATAAAGTTAAGAAGCTGTAGCCGCGGGTAGTCTGTCAGCAAGTTTGTGGGCGAGCGTAAAGTTGCGGAGCTGTTGTGGGTGCCACCGACAATGGCAAGTGGGCAAGTTTATGCGCTGCCATCTGCCCGGGGCAGCTGAGCTCGTCGCAAGATAAGGGGAATCAATAAGTCCCGGAGTAGGAGCGACAACTGACCCCAACTTACTGCACTGCGTGGGGCCAACTGAGCCAGAAATGCTCCTTCAGCACGCCATGCTATTTCTACGGGCAAAGTTCTCTGGAATCTATCCACAAAATATCAGACTCAGCCAAAAGGAAAACTAGACAGGAGTTTTCCGCACTGGGACTCGAAGTCCATTTATCGGCTTCACAGGCGATGGAGCAAGGATAATGGTCGTAGTCCAGCGACAGCGGCAGTGATGTTAATTTTCCGATCGGCCAACCAGATTGTGAGTGTGAAGCCGAAATTACATACAACATGCGTTTAATGAATAATTTAGTATAGGTGTTAGAATTCCTGAGTTTGATTTCCAGGGGTCTTGAATAGTTTTAATTTTAATATCAACGTCATTTAATCTTCATTTCGGTCTATGCGTTTTCACGCCTGAATTTTCATGTTTGCGATTTGGTATTTTCATACGTGCTTCTCGGTGCTTACATAACAGTATAGGTGCATGCATCTTTGCTCGCTGACTCTGACGATTTTACTTTTTCATATAAAAATGTCTGCACTGCTTAGAACATTAGCCTTTGCCATAAAAAGTGGAAAATTTGTTTTTGACATCTTCCAGGCTCTACTTTACTGCTTCTTCTCTTGTTCTTTAATATTTAACTTGACTATTGTGTTCCAGTTTTATTTTTTCATCCTCGATATGTCTAAAGTTTCGTTCCCATGAAATGAAATGTAACAGTAAAAACGGTCAAAAAATTAAAAAATTAAAATTAACAGATTAGAGTAACAGCAGAAAATGAAAAACTCTGTCTACAACACGGATGAAATACTTAAAACAGCGGACAATAAAGTATAGAGCACAAAATGACAACTCAAAAAAGTGAAAAATAAGGAGGTATTAATAAAATGATAAAAGCGTCAAATGCACACACGTGAAGCGCTGAGTGCACAACTGCCAACACTGAAGTGGAAATTCAACAATGCTATCATAAAAAACCTTAATATGCAGGGACTGAAATACAAACACAAAATTATGACCATCAAAATGCGGATACATAAAATGGAACAGAAAAAAAATCGGCAGGATTTTCGCGCATGAAAGTCTCCGAAGTGTTTCAAACGTTCATGTCGACCGCCAGCCTTCCATGCAAATGCTTTTTGATATTGGCCCTGAGGGCTGAGATGCAGCCGAATCCGACGAGGAGACAATTTAAATCATCTTTCATTGCAACAAAGCACTTCATACATTGCCCAAAAAGTACGGTAATGTCATTTTCTGTGTCTTTTCGTAACCAGTTCCTGCTATACACGAAGTCAATAGCACCATCAAAAGTGGCAGTTATAGTACTTAAAAATTGTAATGGCCGTCAAAAGTAAAAACTGAACTGTCGCCGAGTTCAAGAACCTACACAAGACAGGCTCTTAGCGGAGCCTTCATGCAAGCTCTCACTCGTAGCAGCCACCTCGCTCGCAGTGTTGATCTAGTTTACGTCGGCACCAGAATTTCAATGAGGTCTGCGAGCATTGATATTCGGGACAAGTCGGTTCAAATTCCTCATTTAAGAGCATCTATAACAACGCTGTTGCTCAGTCTGCACACATCAAAATTCGCTCTGTATAACAGTATACTTAACCTGCACACACCGAGACCCTCGATTTCTATATCTGGTCATCATTGATAGAGATCTTTGCTCTGTAGTATATTTAGTCTACACACACACCGAGACCCTCGATTTGTATATCTAATCATCATTAATCGAGATCTTTGCTCTGTATATTTAGTCTACACACACACCAAGACCTTCGATTTAAATAATTAGCCTTCACACACCGAAACCTCCCCTCTGTATAATTAGCCTTTGGTGTGTATAGTTAGTCTACATACACTAAAACCTTTGCTCTGCATATTTAGCCTTTGGTGTGTATAGTTAGTCTACATACACTAACGCCTTTGCTCTGTATATTTAGCCTTTAATGTCCACAGTTAGTCTACTCATACCGAGACCTTCGGCCTATATATTTAGTCTACACATACCGATACCTTCTCTCTGTCTCTGAAAATTTAGTTTACACATACCGAGACCTTTGCTCTGTATATTTAGCTTTTATTCTGTATACTTAGTCTACAGACAAAAAAACTTTGCTCTGTATATTTGGCCTGCACCTGTCGAGACCATTGCTCTGTATATTTAGCTTGCACACACAAACAGAGACGTTTGCTCTGTAAATTTAGTCTGCACCTGTCGAGACGCGTATCCCCTCGATTCGATCAGCGTCAGCGATACCGCGACGTTCGGATGGCCTTCGTATAAAGCAGTAAAACTTTTCGATTGCCCTAGTAAACTTAGCGCATTTCTGCAATAACATTCATCGTCGAACGAAAGTTTTTGCTAAAATTGCCGGCGAGAATAATACGCAATTTCGCAATGATGCGTGGAAGACCCGTAATTTCATCCTG